ATGTTCAGGGCAGCGTGCTGCCATCTGACAGTGCCCACTCTCTGTGTGTGATGAGTGGGCAACCCTTTCCAGTTGGAGTTGCCTTTTGTCCACTGTATTACATTGCGTGGGTGGCCCCTATGAAACCTCTCTGCATTCAGTAATTCTGTAGGAACATTTAGCAGTGGTACAGAATGCTTCGTGTTAGTAATGCTGAGCTTTTGCCCTGTTCTCTTCTCTTTCAGATTGAAGGGGGACCTGGCCTATAACTACCGAGGACCGCGGACCAAAGATGACATCATTGACTTTGCTCACAGAGTGTCTGGGTGAGTTGTGTAGGCATGGCCTTTGCTGTCAGACCCTGATGCTTGAAAATCACGCGTATTTTTAGCACCTTGTTACACACTTGCATATTAGGGACTTAGCAAAAGAAACTATGTTTTCGGGTTTGCTAATTTATTTATACAGAAACCTGGGGTCGGGCAGTGTATCCAGACATAGGCTTTAAAGACCATACAGCCTGGCATGGCTGTTACCTCCTGGTAACTGCACCTTTAAATACTGGGGGGGCGGGGGAGTATAAATCCCCCTCTCCCCTATGGGACTTGTAATATATCTTAAATTTTTTGATAGCTTCAAACTAACAATTTATAAATCTTTTATTTATTTAAAAAAAATTTAAAAATGATGCTTTTGCTTGTGTTCCTAGCATTATTACTTGTTGCCTAATTTCAGAGTTGTAAAGGAACCACGAGTTAGCATTGTTCAAAATAAAACTGCACTCGGGGCAGGCCTCAGAGACTGCAGTGTGTTTTGAGGTCCAGCTAAAACCGTCTCCCGGGGTGCTGCTTCACAGGCTTCTCCAGGCCAGCCGTGCACAAGGAGAGCGGTGTTTGCTTGGAACGCAGCATAGTTCCACCCAGTGACTGGTTTGCAGTCCAGGTCATGGAGGTTTTCCTGAGAAGGAAACCTCATTTTCTGCACGCATGGTGCGTTGGTGTGATTGAATGTAGTAGTTTTGTAAAAATTGGCATCTGGCTGTAGCATAAAGAAAGGTAGTGCTTATAATTATTGACTGATAGTGTGGAACTTCTTGACGAGGATGCTTATCAAAGTCACTTAATCTGCATGGGTATTTTAAAACTGCCCGTGCAAATTTGTGAGGCTGACAGGAAGGATGAATGGTATTGGTAAGTTGAAATCATTTTAAGACAACATTGAGATGGATTATGAAATCCATCTGGTAACCTCACATTTACAGGCAAAGAAAATTCTCCGGTGGCTTTTCAATACATTTTAATTCATTCTTACAGTTTTGTGAATCTTAATTTTCATTTTGGGATAATTTTGCCACCTGGCTTCAAGTATCAGACAGAGAACCGGACTAGGTGTGATCTTTAGGGATCACAGCTGTGTGGAGTGTCTGGCTGTTCTTTTACCATGTCTTCGCATTGAGTTCAGGCTTCGTATTCGTGATTTGATGTGGACACACGTCCATTTTGAGCAAACATTGATCGAAGGCGAGGGGTGACATCAGGCTGTGATTGTCCCGTACTTCTTCCCAGCCTGTATGTTTAGGGCTGAGTTTCAGTTGGCATTAGGACGGGGTTCTCCTGATGTAACTCAAGGTAGCTCGAATGCAAAGGCCATTTCAGGCATTGCTTCTGGAGTTACATCACTTAGTGACTACTGACTGAAGTTTAAAATAGAAACTAGTGATGCAATGCATCTGAAGCAGTGTGCATTTGGGAAATACATTTACCTTTGCGAAATTTGCACTCTTCCCTGTGCTGATGGAGTGATGGCTTAAGATGCAACGTTATGGACCATGTTTAAGAAGCCTTCCACGTGTGTCTTTTTAAGTGATATTTTGTTAGTAATATACAAACATCTGGTATCATTCATCTCTCAGTAGCGTGGATGCCTTTGAAATAATACAGAGATAGGTTTAAATATATATGTATATTTAAACCTATCTCTTCATTATAAATATATTATAAAATGCAACATTTTCCACTTCAGCATTTTCAGGTGTACAGTTAAGTGAATCTCGTCAGTTCCCTTGATCAAGCTGTCCAGCCATGAGCCATAACCACTGCCCGAGTTTCTGTCACCATAAGCAGGAAGTCACCCCTTTTGGCCAATGATGGCCCTTCCCATCTCCAAGCCCTGGTAGCCATACTTTGGTCGCCATCCCCTGGCCATGTGTGCCACATCATTCAGGTCACTGCTGTTGGGCCTGGGTGATGGATTGACCTGCCTCCCCAAGCACAAGCACGCCTGTGGTGATTGTTGATAATCCTGTGCTGAGTACCAGCGTGTTTTTGTCTGATTGCCTTTCTGCTTCTAAGACCCCGGTGTGCACCGAGGAGCAGGCCTGTTGGGTCGCGTGGGTGCTCTCTGTTGATGACTGCCACCCTGCTTTCCAGAGCTTGGCCCTTCCCTGCAGGGGTGTATGTGGGGCTCCCAATTTTCCCACATCCTCACCAACATTTGGAAGGTCGCTTTTTATCTTAGCCACCCTACTAGGAGTGAAGTGGTATATCTTACTTGGTTTTTATGTGCATCTCCCGAAAGGCTAATGAAGGCACCATGGTAGCGCTGTGGTTAAAGCTGCTCTCTGACAGCACAGTCTGACCAGCCGCTTCCTGTGAAAAGGTGTGGCAGGTGCCTCAGTGACGATGACAGTGCCGGGACCCCTACAGGCCACTTCTGCTCTGTCTTACAGGGTTGCCTCTGAGTTCGAATCCCAGGAAATGGCTAATGACATGAGCATCTTCTGTGCTGCGTGGCCATTTGAGTATCTTTGGTGCGACGTCAATTCGAGTTTTCTGCCCATTTTTTTATTGTGTTCCTTACTCTTGGTTGTTAACTTGCAGAAGTGTTAGGGGGGTGTGCGTGTATGTTAGACCATTATTGGATATATGGTTCCCTCAAATTTTCTCCCCGTCTGTAGATTTTTCACTTCTCGATAAAGTCCTTTGATGAACAAAATTAGGGACTTGTTATGAGGCCCCATGTACCTCTTTTCTGTACTGCTCCTATTTTCTGTAAATAACAATTGTATGTTGTATTTCAGCTACCATCTTTTATTTTTTTATGAAAAAAATTAGTGATTGTATTAGTCTAGGTACTTTAGAGAAACAAATCCACAGCAACTCATGTATAAGAGAGTTTTATGTAAAGAAAATGTGCATCACGAAAACATCCCAACCCAATGCTGCCCAAGCCCACAAGTCCAACATTAACCCAATAACCCAACACCAGTCCACAAAGTCCTCCACCTCACAAAACAGAGGCAATGATGCCGACTTCAGGAGGAAAGCTGAGTTCGTGAACGAATAAGCATCTCAGCACTAGCAGGGGTCTCCACACGGCTGCTCCAGCACCCAGGGCTGCATTGGGATAGGTCCATGTGGCTTTTCCTTGGGGATGTCTTGTAGGAAGTCATTCTTGCAAGCTGAAGCAGGGAACTGCTAAGGCAGCTACACCCTGGTGCAACCATCACAAAGCAAGAGACCCGAGAACCAGAAAGGCGAAGCTCACCACCCATTTATCCCTCCGCCTTTCAATTAGTCCCACATGTGATTATCGGCCAGGTTGGCACAATTAACTAACTCAATGATATACTTAAGAACTATTTTAGGTTTTAACATCAACAGTGTATGTGAAAACAGTGTATGTGAAAACTCAATGAGTGTTCTTATTGTTCTTATTGTTCATTTGAAGTTCTTGGAATGCTATTTCACAAATATTTATGTGAAATTTCTTTTGAAAGGGAGGAAAAGAAGTGAACCTCCTGCGAATTATTGTTTTCATCGGAGGACTCTTAAGTGGATTCTAGTTCTGTTTGTACTGATCACAATATTGACCAAGATGGTATTCTCTTAAGGGATGTGCTTGAAGCTAGTTCTTAAATGGACGGATTGCACTGTGGGTAGGTTTTCCAGTATAATGTATGCGTTCAGAAGTCGTCACCAGCTACCCGGGCATTAACTTTCTGTGACTGGGCAATGCACTCAGCATGCAGTGGGTGTACACTACCAAACATTAGTCCTGCAGGCCACAATAAATTATGTGATAGATCCACTTCATAACCCTTGCTCATTTTGTATGCAAACAGGGCTTTAATCCGGCCACTTCCAAGTCGGCAGATGTTTGAGCACGTGCGGAGGCGACACCGTGTGTTCTATGTTTACGTAGGTGGGGAGTCACCCTTGAAGGTAGGCTGGCCGGGATTGGTTTTTTCATCCACAAAATTCAGACACGTTGTCTGTGAACGCGCCGCATTGCTACAGCTCGACCAGAACCGCAAAGCTTACCGCACCTGTTGTGAGCATCCCTGCTGAGTCTGGTCGTTTTTATAGTAAAGGTGACTTCTTGCTCAGCGCCTGCCATCGGGAAGTCAGTGGGGTGAAAGATGTCACCTGCCTCTGCCCTGCGCTGCCTGACACGTGGCTGCTTTGAGACTGCGAGTTTGCGCATCAGGTGCAGACTTGATAAGATAAAGACAGGCCGCTGCCCTAAGTTTGTTTTATGTTTGCCTGTGGGTGTACTCACCTGTATTTACATGTGTTGTGTATATAGGAAGTGGCTTCAAAAAGTTTGTGGGGAAATGAAATGAAAAGAGAATGGCATTTGTCCATGGACTTTTTGAAACGCCTCCCCTAGTGTGTGTATGCGCCCACATCTCTTGCAAACCACTTGCCCAGCCTTTGATTCTGACTCACTCACCGTGACCCTGTGCGGGACACAGCGGAGCTGCTCCCTGGGGTCTTCTTGGCTGGGATCTGTGTGGATGCACATTGCCAGTCCTCTTCTGGGGTACCCGGGGGTGGGGGTGGGGGTGGGATTGTGACCCACCAACCTGCCGATTAGTGGTCCAGCACCTCCGTGTGGTCCCTGCCCACTGTCCTCGCTTGCCCTTCCCCTCATCATCACGATGATGTGAACTGAACTTGCTCATTTTGAAGGGCTGTATTTGGAGAAAGAGCAAGGAACTGAATACCTTTTGTCTTATTGACTGCTTAGTTCATTTCCTTAAACCTCTCTCTTCACGTGACATGCAGCTGTCAGATTGGGAGAGAACCACGCATTGCACAGGTGGCTCTACGTGTTTGATGATGAATGTTCATCTTTATTCTTTTAACGTGACCGTTTATTTTGTTGTTTGTATCTTCACAGGAGAAATATATCGATGCTGCTTCAGAATTAATTGTGTATTCCTACTTCTTTGCTGCCACAGAAGAGGTGATTCCTGAGGTAACACTTCACAGTGAACTTTAACCACACTGTGTCATTTTCGATCAGTTCCTTGCATGGTTCTCTCTCAGGTGGACTTTCTGTAATACTTGTGGAAGTGGCATGTCACAGCTTGACTGCTGATATCAGAACACTTACTATGAGTAAGCAAAGAATCCCAGATCCATAGCTTTTAGTATTTAGTACTGTTTTCCTGTTTAAAATAGTAAGCGTAGTAACAAATGATAGCCCAACTCCTTAAATAGTGAGTTGCTTTTGAGTGTTTGTATTCTTAGAGTAATTACGGTGTTCTTGTCAGGTGCCAGGTGCTCTTTCCTATCCTGGTTGATCGTTAGCTTATTGATGTTTGCCTGGGGCTTCACGGGGCTCACAGTTTTCATAGCACCTCTTGGGTCAGGTCTGACACCCGAAAGGGATCTGGTTAGGTGCAGGAGGCATAAAATGCATCGTGTCATTATTGTTTGTTTATTATTGAGTACCAGCCTCCTCAACTGGTGTCTGCAAGCAGCCCTTCTTGACTCCTGTAGATCACCAGTAGTTTTCGGCTCTGTACTTTACTCTTAAGTATGAAGTTGGAAAAGGGAGAGGCGGTCATTTATTGTGGAATTTTTACTCCCGTGGAGAATATTCAAATAAGGACAAAGCCCATCATTCTGTGGGCGCCCTCAAAATTTGAAGCTTAGTGTTTGGTTATGTGAAGCTTTGCACCTGGTGGTGTCAATGCCCCTGAGAAAGGGCGACGTCGGTTCAGCATTCCCAAGCCCCTTTATGGGTGAGTAGGTGGAAGGAAGGTTACTTGATGTTGAAGCCTCCCTCACCACTTTAATTGGCCAATTTCATGGTGCTCTGTTTTGGTAGTAGTGTAACCAAGTCGTTTTATTTTCTTTCCTCTGTTCTGAGATGAACCCTCCTTTGTCCATATTTTAAAACTCATCTTGAAATAGTTTTTTATTGCTGTTTCATTCTGCTTCCTTTTGTTTCAAGTCTTACAGGGTATTAGTATGTCCAGTATTACGCTCATGCAGCAATCCTGTGTGACTTACCCTAATTACTTCACTTCTGCTCTGGTATTTATTCTTAAGTGTCATTTTACTCTTGAAAGAATTACAGCACAGGTGCCTTCTGAGTGGCAGTCTGGTCACCAGCTTTCCCTTGGTCTTAGAGAAGAAGGCTCTCTGGTCGGTTGTCAGCTTTACACTTGGCCTCAGCGCTACATACAGTTGACACAGCGTGCTCACTCACTTATGTGCCCTGAGAGAGCCTGCTAAGGCCCTGTGTGACGTGAGCCGACTGGAGCCCCGTGTTCCTTGCTGCGCACAGGCAGGATGTGGTGGGGAGGTCAGAGCCTAGTGTTAGCCTCTGCCTTTCCACCTGCTCACCTGTCCCCCTCCTCTTGGCCCAGGTAATCCCTCCGTCTGTGTTCTTTCTCCAAGAGGAGTCCGTGAGGTCACTCCCCCCATCTCCACTCCCCTTGCAACAGGGGGCAGTAGGCCCAGGCTGCGGGACAGGGAGGAGCTGGCCAGACATGCAGATGAGCACAGAGCCCTCTATCCACCTCTGACTCTGACCTTTCCTCACCTTGTGGTGTGGTTTGGCTTTTTTGGTGGTTGGTTTTATTCTTCTGGTGCCCCTCGATACTTTTGCAGTCCTAGGTGTCCAGCTTTTTAACGGTAGAAAGTTGTTTAAACCTCTGGTTTTTGCAGTCCGTGGTGCTGAAAGAGATGCCTGCTGTGCTCGTCTTCAAAGATGACACGTACTTCATTTATGACGGTGAGTTCCCAGGATCAAGGCTGACGGGACTGTCGACAGGGCTGCTTCGGTGGGGCTCGGGTGTTGACGGGAGACTGTGTGGAGGGGATTGCCACTCACTTCCCTGTCCATTCATCGAGCAGCTAAGGGGGACTTGTGTCTGTGCCTCAGCATTTTCCACCTAGTGCCCCTTCATTCACAGCTGTAAATTATCATTTTGCCGAACTATTTGTCTTTTGGGGAAGTGGACTCTATGAAATTACTATCCATTGTTACTCTAAGGTGTTTACATTAGTGAAAACTGAACAATCGTGCCTGACATTGCAGACACCCAAGCAGTCGAAGACCTAGGACAGCTTGAAGGTGCTCCAGCCCCACACCTGCCCCCACACTTGTCCCCACCCCTGTCCCCACACCTGTCCCCAGCTGCATCTCTTGTCAGCCCTCGGCTGTTAACTGTCATGTTGTCATGGAATCAAGAACTCGCGTTCTGTATTTTCGTTATGCTAGCAAGCATGAAGAAAGGAGGTGGTAAAATCAGGGAGCCCCATGTACTCATCACTCAGTCTCAACGGTTACCAATGTATGAACCCACATTTGCATCAACTCTCTTCACCCCTTTTATTGAAGTATTTTTAAAGCGAACCCCAGACTTTCACCATTGTGTGCTTCAGTGCGCACTTGTAAAAAGGACCCCTCTCATCCGTTAACCACAGGCCATTGTCATAGCACACAAAGGCAAGATTGGTTTCTTGGTGTCATCTGATACTGACACTAGCAGTTCCAAGACTGTGCCCTGACATTCACTAGGCCCTTGTAGCACACTCCCAGCATCACTGGGAAGTATTGGATGTAGTGTTGTTATTGTAGTTTGTCAGGTGGAATCTTACAGAGCATATTTCCACTCAGCAACATATACACTTTAGTATGCACATAGTGTTTCCCATAGAATAGACAGTTTGTTTACAGTGTATAATTTGTTCTAATGGACCACAAGAACCGCATTTCTACTGCCTAGAGACCAGAAGAACTAGATGTCGTCCAATCTGATTGGCCTCTAAAGTCCTCGACAGAGAGGGTTAATTTTTTTTTTTTTTAAGAAAACAAGACTTTTTACATTTCCAGGGAAACATTGAAGTTTGTGTTTAGAGGGTGCTTCATGCTGCAGATAAAACGGGCTCTATTGGGAATGTTCATAATAGTGTTTCATCTTTGCTAAGTTTGATCACTCATTCTTTGGCTTGTCATTGAGTTAGTAGGATTGGGAACTTGAACGTGTTTTGTTCGGCCATGCACATAGCTGGACATCCACCCCTCTTAGAAATCGATGGCAGTCATCAGACGTCCTGGCAGACTTGGCAGACTTTGGAAGATACTTGGTTTACATTACTTCCTATTCGTGCAGCTTTAGTAATAAAAACCATTTTTTCACAATGACTTTAAAATTGTCTTTCTAATCAAGACATAATATTCCTTAGGCTTAATTCTATCTGCTTAGTAGGGGAAGGATTTGATGTTGTATAAAGACTGTATGTTGCACACGGAAAAAAAAAAGTCAACTTACAATAGAAATGTCATAAACTAAAGAGAAGTAAAAAGTTGTAATGATTACTTGTCGCGCCACAATCTAGACTGTCATTCTTACAGAGGGGCTTTCAATTTGTAATACTTGATCAGATTCTTTTTTTGTTTTTCAGTTTCTGTATTGTCTTCCTCAACATGTACCATAATTTGCTATAATTATTTCACATTACGATATGTTCGTTAATCTCTTTTGATTAGTTTTAATAGCACTACAATGAGAAATTGTAAATGATTTTCTGTAGTACCGCTGGTTGGTTGTTTAGAGTACATTCTTGAAACTGAAAGCGGCCACTTTCAGATGCATCCATGCCGGGCGTTTTCACATCTGGTTGACGTGGTAGCCTCACATCCTTTGTCCCTGGCTTTGTGTGCAGAGTTTGAGGACGGCGACCTGGAGTCCTGGATCACCAGAGAGCGGTTTCAGAATTACCTCACCGTGGATGGCTTCCTCCTGTATGAGCTTGGAGACACAGGTGACAGCTGTGCAGCCCCCGTCATGCCCACCCCCAACCCCCCACGCCACCCAGGCGTGCTCCTTATCAGAGCGCTTCACCCTGATTGTGTAGGCTCCATCTGGAACAAGTATTCATTATTTTGGTGGGAATGCTCATCTTTAAGAGAAGGCCATCTAGTATTATGACCAGTCTCCCTTTATTTGTGGCTTAAAGACTGGCTACTGTTTCACTATAGAGCTCTGGGACTGGGAGAACAGAGACCTTGAATAGTAAAGAAATGAGAAAGGTAGCCACTGAGTTACTGACACAGGGCTGGCTGTGTGGTGGTAGTTTAAATACAGTATATAACCTTTGGGGGTGCACCTGTATTCCTGTGGAGAAGAACGGAATCACATGGGCATGGAGTCCTGACATGACAGGACTAGAAACGACAAACACGCAGAATATGAATATGACACAGAAAAGAAAGCCCTAAGAAGCTGCACTAATGGCCTGGTCTTCTGTAACATTTTAGGAGGAATTGTCTTGTGACTTTATAGTTAACATTTGTTTCCATTCTCAAGTTTATGATAAAAAGAATGGAAACTTAGAGAGTGAAGGAACAAGAAGATTTTCCTTTCCTCATAACGTGCAGTTAGTTACCTCTGACTCATCCTGCAGCTTCAGACCCAACACTGCTGCCTTAGGTAACCGTCTCTGACAACTCCCCCTCCCACCCCAAGCGACATTAGTTCCCCAAGGTCAGCCTTCACTTGGTTTGCGTGACCATTTGCGTGTCCCCCGCCAAGTCCCTGAGTTGCATCTGGCTGTGCTCATCAGTGTCCTCCGTCACTGGCTCAGGGGTGACACTTTACTTGCCACTCCCTGATTGTCCCAGGACTGTGTGGCAAGTGCCGCTGCAGTTTTTCACCCCCAGCCGCTGGGTGCACGTCTTGT